AAAACTACTAGATGTAAGAATATAATTATTTTGTATTTATTTAAAATTATATTCTAAGAAACTGTAGCGGCAATACAATGTAAACAAATGTAAATAACATAAACTCGTTGAGTTCATAATATCGTATTCATACGATTGATTTTAAGCAAATGAAATTTGAAAAACAAACCGGAAAAAAAAGAGGATGAAAATACAAATCTTACTCTCTTCTCTCTGTGTGTGTTTCGATTGTGCATGAATAAAAAAAACATTGCGTAGGAATTTCAAGTGACTGTGAAATACATTTATAAATGTACCTTTTTTTTAGATTTGTTTGATTTGATTTTAGTTTCAGAAACATTTTTTTATTTTTTTTATTTCATAACTCAAATTCGAATTTCGAATTCGAAACATGTTTGAATGTGTACGACATTTGACAGTTGGTAGCTGTGTGTATTGGTGTGTATCATATCGAAGCCGATTTTTCTGATCACATTCAAAATGTGCTTCGTAAACATTGCATCGTATCAATTAATTTCTTTGAACAATGTATGAAATTATAATTCCGGCACCGAACTAAATAGGGATTTTTTCGCATCAAAATATTTTGAAGTTATTGTTAAGAATAAGGTAAGTAATTATGGTTAAGTTGCCATTGTGTTGAAAAAAAAAAACAAAATTTAGTGATTAATAAATGGAATTCTTGTACATGAGATTCATTTTTTGTTTATCGTCATTTTAGCAACGGTTTGGTGTGTTTGGAACGTAACTGTAGAAGTCACTCGATGTCAAATGGAAAGATTCACAGTCCGTTTTGTGACAGTCTTTGTTTTCATTTCAAAATAGAAAAAAAACATTTTCATCGTTTTAATCAGGACACAGCGTTATATAGTATAAGAAGTTATTCATTTGAATTGTTATATGAGTGTGTTCTCATTTTTTGTTTGTAACAAATTGTGCTTTGCTTGTAAAAGGAATTCTTGAGAATTATGTGTGAGTGTTTATATTAGAGTATGAAACAATTTGTTTGTCGTCATTTTTGGCTAACATTTGTTCCAATGATTTTGTTTGTTCGATGTTAAACGGATAAATTCACTGTTGGTTTTGAGATTGTCTCTGTTGTTATTTCAAAATAAGAAAGCATTCATAAAATTGACGGTGAATATTCCAACAAAATTTTCATCTGCGGAGTATTGGAAAACATTTCATCATTTGAATCAGAATACAGAGTGACATCGTTGAGGTAAGAAGTGATTAATTTGAATTGTGATATAAGTGATTGTCATTTAATTTGTGATCTCATTTTATTCGTAATCTATGCTATTTTTGTTGCATTTTTTTTCTAAATTTGTGTCTATTTTTCATTTTCGAATAATTTGATCAGTTTTTTGAGAATGAACAGAAAAAGACATGGATGACGACGAGCTCGATGATAACCAGAAGAAAGCAAATACGTTGTAATAAAATGTGGACTTCAAACAATCCTGCGACAACAACATGAACGGATTGAAAGAGTTGGAGAAGCTGTGACCAAAATGCTATTCGAGCGCAGTGTTCAAATGACAGAAGTGGCAGCATTGGCATCACTTTCTATTCTTTTTATTTTGAATGAAGCACTTGATAATGACGATCGTGCATTTTTTTTGCAACCACATCCAAGACTGTTCATTGCCGATTGTTTCAGAGCGGTATTAAACCAACACGTTAACAATATTAATAGTCAATATCGGATATTGCCCGAGTTTCGTTTCATGGTAGAAAGAAACAGTGAAGAACAGTTCCGATGGCCAGATGATGAAAAGTTGGGAAATGGTTTGAGATATTTTTATAAACAATATATCACAAACATTCAAACCAATACCAACACATGGTGTGAAAAACGACTTGAGAATTTTTTTCGAATGCGTTGTTGGTATCGCAATCGATTCAACAATGGCTCAAGATTTGATAGCATCGACATCAGAAATGCCAAAGAGTTTTCATATCGATTTAAGAATTTAACAAATGGTAATAATGGTAATAATGTGGATCCACAACGCGTTGAAAAATTCAATATTTTAATGAGAGATTTGACTGAAATTGGATGGTCGGGAACAGTGAGTATGAAATTTTTCGCAAAATATCGTTGGTTTGAATCACTGTGGTTGTTCGGTCAAATGCAACGGCAAATAGAAGTGTATCACAGTCATGCCGAACAATGGAATACCATTCATGAAATGTTTCGTAACAATCCGAACTTTCAAGAGCCAACAATCAATCGACCACCAAAAATAAGCAGTTTTGCTCTTATACCATTATGCGACTACCATTTGAAAAACGTGCGATTGGACATTACGGACTTGTATAATAAAATTGTAAACGAACTTGATTTGGTGCCTTCTTTTCTCAATACGCGGACCAACCGGATGAATAAGAGAAAAGTAAAGTACTACACCCAAACTGATCGATCAGGTCTATGGAATATGTTGTTCGATGTCGGTAAAATAAATAAATTGGGCAAATCGAAACCATTCCATCATCAGATTTTGACCGATAGTGTTTCAATATCCATAATGTACAAGAAACCACAGCGACAACAACGACCACAGCGACAACAACGACCACAGCAAACAACCCAAGCGAATCGGGGGCTGGAAAAACTCATTGGCAAGAAATACATCATTGGAATCGATCCGAATGAAAAATCGTGGTTAACTGTAGTGCGTCGCAACATTCAAAAAACACCTGATGAGCCGGCTGTTGAGGTAAGATATTTTGAAATGTAATTTGAAATGGTTTTGAATAGAAACTCATAGTTTTTTGTATCATTTTGCATTTTGAAGGAAAACATTATAATACCAAACCAGCGTTTTCATTGGGAAACTCAGCAGAAAAAACGAGACAAAGAAGCGAAAAAGTTGGCTGGATGGTTTGATATCGAAGAGAAGGAACATCTCAAAACATACCCATATCGTCCACCATCACCACGTAATTCAACATGGAAATCATACATTGAATATCGCATTAAAATGTTACGAAAAGGAATGGCAGCTTATGCGACGCGTGAATATGCACGACTGGATTTAGACCATCACATTCGCTCGACCAGAGTAAATGATCAAATCGCCGTGTGTGTGACAAACAACAAACCGTCGTTGGTTCAATTTGGTGCTTGGGCGATGAAACCCGATCGACCGTTTGGAATAAAAAAGCGTAAAAGATGTCCGGGATAGCGTAAGTTTCGTGTGAGCATTAAGAAACTTGGACATTCAGAAGTTGAAATGCAAGATGAATGGGGAACATCACAAACATGCGCGAATTGTCAGGAACGTTTTCCAAGGCACACAAAAGATGATCGATTTAAAGTGTGCTACGATTGTAGAGCGAAAAAGATTGATGGCCTGCCAGATTCAGTCGCTGGACTGCCAGATATCATTGTGTCAACGGTCAACAGACGTGTTTTGAGAAGAAAACGTGCAATTTCTTTATTTCTTTATTTCTTTATTTATTTTAATGCTATATGCAAACTTACAATAAATTATAAACTTACATACATAGTAACATCATAATTTTAACAGCCTCGTGGGCCAATTACAAAAAGTATTTGGCTATTTTTATGTTTAACTGGTTATAAAGAAATTTATTTGTTTTATTATTTTTTCATAAATGTTCGAAAGAAAGAAGGAAAGTGTGAATAGGATTTTCCAGAACAAAGAAATCCTTAGTACAATTTCATTATTTTGCAAAAATACGATATTATTATTCTCTAAATAGATATTTGCTCTACATAAAAACCGTTTCACTCTCTAATTATTGGAAAAAGACTTTATGGCAAACTAATGGTATCGAGAGTAAAACTGCTTACGAGAGCATTTATTCCAATGACAATTGCATTCCCCAGCAGTAGACTGAGCTAATTTAGTCAATAATTTGTAATTATTAGAGATTGGTTTAGTTCGAAGATAGAGTAACGTCTGAAAGCATTGAGGTTTGTCTCATTGAGATTCAAATTATTAAAACATTCGACATGCTGGCGATGCATACGTAAGGCAGGACTATAAAATTCCACATTTGTTGTGACAATTGGCAAATAAAAAGTTCTATTAAATCTCATTGTTCGTAGTTGGTGTGGCTGATAATTGTGAATAAATGAAACTCTAAAAATACCATTTGTGATTTTGAAAAGAATTATTTCATCAGATAAAATCCGTCCATTCTCCAATGACATTAATGTCTTATGAGTCGCATGTTATATGTTTCTGTGGGAAAATGAAACTTCCTGAAAACCATTCTTGTGAACTTTTTTTGAACTCTTTAAATATAGTGTGCAATAAAAAATTATAGTTAAATATTGGATTGAAAATGTAAACATATTTTTGTTTAAAAATGTCTGATAGTCTGCTTCAAGTTTAATGCTAGTTCCAGCTAGAAGATCTCAATGAATATATGTGGCGCCACATGGTAAAACATGAAAATGTCATCATTTTTGGACGAATGAAGAACTGTCAAAATAAAGCGTTTTATATACGTTCGAGTCAGCTTGTATTCATACACAGGACAAAATTACAGATAAAATTGTAAAACACAGCATACAGTAAATATCAATTTTGGGAGAAATCGAAAAAGAAAACAACAATAGAAATATGGAAAGAATGCAAAAAATGCCCAAAGTGGCAAAGGTAAATACGTCAGTTTTTGAAAATGCGTTAAATTAACCTCAAATATGAGTTGACTTTAATCGCCAATATGTGTATTTTAATTTTTTTATCTAAGGTAAAAAATAAAGCACCAGCAGAAGTACAAATTACAGCGGAACAATTATTACGTGAAGCGAAAGAACGTGATTTGGAAATTCTGCCACCGCCACCGAAACAGAAAATTTCCGATCCAGCTGAGTTGGCTGATTATCAACATCGAAAACGTAAAGCGTTTGAAGACAATTTACGAAAGAACCGAATGGTAGTTACCACTATTTTATATTTACATTATCACAATTCACATTCATACATTAATTGTAATATATCTATTGAATGTGGGGGGATAATGGATAAATAAAAAACATACCAATAGTTTCCCAATCATCTCTCTCATGGATATATACGTTTAAAATTCCAAATCATGACATTGATTTTTTTTGTATGTGAGATTAGAGTTTGGGTGAATGAGTGAGAAATGATTGGAAATCATTGTAAGATATATATATGTATTATTATAAGAAACTATATCGCAATACTTGTAGGTACCAAGAAGTATTGGTTGATACTTGTAAATTTCTGCAAATAGTGAGAATTTTTTTTGACAGGATCGATTACACTACCGAATATCAATTCTTCTGATTTCTTTTGGGCTTACTCATAAAATTCTTAATATATACATAAATAGAAGTTTGCATTATATTTCGTAAGAAATAACTTTACAAATATATTGATATTATTATTATTCTTTTAAATTGTGATTATTCCCTTAGGTTGTTAGCAATTGGATCAAATATGCACAATGGGAAGAATCACAGAAAGAAATTCAACGTGCCCGCTCAATTTGGGAAAGAGCTATCGACAACGATCACCGAAATATCACAATATGGCTGAAATATATTGAAATGGAAATGAAGAACAAACAAGTAAATCATGCTCGTAATCTTTTTGATCGTGCTGTTACAATTCTACCGAGAGTCAATCAATTTTGGTACAAGTATGTTTATATGGAGGAAATGTTGGAAAACTTAGGAGGAGCCCGTGCTGTATTTGAAAGGTTTTTTTTATTTACATGGTCGGTTGAATAAATATAATATTTTTAAATAATGTTTTTAGGTGGCTCGAATTTCTTCCGGAAGAGCAAGCATGGAATACTTATATTAACTTTGAACTAAGATATAAAGAAATAGACCGAGCTCGGAAGATTTATGAAAGACTGGTAATGGTTCATCCGGATATAAAAAATTGGATCAAATTTGCTCGATTTGAAGAGAATCATGGCTTTATCAATGGCGCTCGCAAAATATATGAGAATGCGATCGAATTTTTTGGCGAAGACCACATGGAAGAGAAGCTTTTTATTGCATTTGCACGATTTGAAGAAGGACAAAAAGAACATGATCGCGTCCGCGTTATTTACAAATATGCCCTTGAACATTTACCAAAAGACAGAACAAATGATCTTTACAAAGCGTACACGATTCACGAAAAGAAGTATGGAGATCGTTCGGGAATCGAAGACGTAATTGTTTCAAAGCGTAATTATATGTTTCCACTGATTCCTGTATTTGTTTATTAATTTCGATTACTTAGAGTCTTTTCTATATGTGATTCACCCCTAGGTAAATTCCAATACGAACAAGAGATTGGTGATAATCCAACAAATTATGATGCTTGGTTTGATTATTTGCGTTTAATTGAAAATGAGGGTGATGCGGAAACCATTCGAGAAACATATGAACGAGCTATTGCTAATGTTCCACCTAGCAAAGATAAAAGTTTGTGGCGAAGATATATCTATTTGTGGATAAATTATGCTTTGTATGAAGAAATCCAAGCACAAAATGAAGAGCGCACTCGTCAAGTCTATAAAACTTGTCTGGAAGTTATTCCTCATAAAATATTTACTTTCAGTAAAATCTGGTTGATGTATGCTCAATTCGAAATTCGTTGTAAAAATTTATCGAACGCACGAAAAGCATTGGGACAAGCGATTGGCATATGTCCACGTGATAAACTTTATCGTGGTTATATTGAATTAGAAATTCAATTGCGAGAATTTGACCGATGTCGCCTGCTATATCAAAAATTTTTGGAATTCGGGCCAGAAAACTGCATAACCTGGATAAAATTCGCTGAACTTGAAACCTTATTAGGTGACTTCGATCGAGCACGTGCTATATTTGAACTAGCAATAAATCAAAATCGTCTTGACATGCCAGAGTTGTTGTGGAAAGCGTATATCGATTTTGAAGTAAATCAAAGCAAAAATGAATTGGCGCGCCAGCTCTATGAGAGACTCCTTGAACGTACAATTCACGTAAAAGTTTGGATTTCATACGCAAAATTTGAATTTACATGTGAAGAAAATGATGAATATTTAAATATATCATTGGCGCGTAGAATTTATGAACGAGCGAATGATGCACTCAAAAATTCACCCGAAAAAGAAAACCGCGTTGTTTTATTAGAGGCTTGGCGCGATTTTGAAAATGAACATGGAACTCGTGACACATACGAAAAGGTCATGGAGAAACTTCCACGAAGAATCAAAAAGAGACAAAAAATCATTTCCGACACCGGAACCGAAGAAGGCTGGGAGGAAGTGTTTGATTATATATTTCCAGAAGATGAAATGGCTAGACCGAATCTAAAATTACTCGCAGCAGCTAAAAATTGGAAAAAGAAACAAACCACTGATCAAACCACACAAAATGGAAATGATGTTGAAAACAATGTGAATTTTTGAAACCACACGAATAATAGTCGTAAATATGTTAAAATTAATTTCTCCACCATAATAATAAAATAAGTGCTTCTGACGAAAAGATTTGTTTCTTTTATTTGGATATAAAATCACAATTTTTTTATTAATTGAAAAATAAATGCATCGTATTTTCGTAAATTTGGTCAGCTAACACATCAATATTTTCATTTTTACAACCGGCAAGAACTTCAAGCACCTGAATTATTTGCGTTGGCTCATATCTGCTAGAGATTAATTGTTAAATATAAATAAATGTCTTTTCCATTATCTTTGCTACAGAAATTATTTGGAGACATGTATCACATACCGTCCATCGATTAAGGTGTCTTCTGTCCATTTTTCTTTCTTTTTAGTAGTTGGCCATTTTGTTTTAATAAATTTTGATCCTATGAGATTTTCCCATTATCGGTATGTTTTAAAAATATTATTGTATATTTAAATGTCACCTGCATGACTTGGTCTAATCTGGCACCATGGACAGTCCGTCTCAATTAAAATTCGTTCATTTGGTATATGAGCAACTACTTCTAGTTGTTTTTCGGATTTTAAAGAACAACCGTTAATTCCAATGTAAAAACCCAAGTCTATCAGTTTTTTTGCTTGAGCGAATGTTCCATCAAATGAATGACACACACCACCGTTTGTTATTTTTGCCAGATTTCGTTGAATTATATTATAAAAGTCATCAAAAGAATTACGACAATGGAGAAATAAAGGCAATCTATATTTCGAAACGAGATCCAATTGACGTTCAAAATATGTTTTTTGAACATCAGCTGTACAAAAATGCAATCGGTCATAGTCCAAACCACATTCTCCAATTGCAACCACTTTATCTTTGTTTTCGTCAATGGCTGCACATAATTGTGCATAGTATTTATCTGGATCAGATTTGAACTCATTACATCTTGTTGGATGACATCCCATTGTAAAGAATAACCGATCTGTAAAAATATAATAAGTTATTGATCAAATCCATACGATTAAAGGTGCATTTTCCAAGGCGACGATTGCAATCGTCCACGATTTTTTTTTCAAATCGGGCGTCAAAAAAACCACAAATAATAAATCGTTCACGATTTTGGCGTCAAAAAAACCATTGATCTCAATCGTTAACGATTTTAGCCAACAATTTGAAATCGTACACGATTGTAATCGCCGCCTTGGAAAATGGACCTTAACTGCACACTTCCGTTCGTTTCTTGTGTTTTTTATACCATCTTTTTTTGCAATTTTGACTACATCTTCGGTATCAGTAACAGTTCCAACTGTAATAATTATTTTTTCCAAACCATTACTCCATGATCTCTTTAAAACCATATTTAAATCAGCAGGATGTTTCTGAGATCCATTATAAATGCCTGAAAATTAGAATATAAAATTAAATGTGTTTTATTTTCAATTAGAGGTCTTGATGTGATTAAGCACCTTTATACATTCCATCAGTCAAATTGGCCCCTATATCTAAATATATCACAAGAATCTTTATTATACTAAAAATTAATAAGCTATTACCAAAGTTGTATGTTACCAATGAACTTCATGTCTCTGCTGAATCGTTGTATTTGTGAGAATTTTCTTGAAATAAAATTCATAAAATGTTTTTTTGGACACAGTTGAATTACTTCATATAAAGTTTTATGCGCTTATGACATTTCACAGATGGCAGCACAAAATGTATTCGTATGAATTTTAATAAGTTTTTTTGTGCTAAACTTTTCAGAGCTGTCAAGTTTGAGTAGTAATATAATTTCTTAAACAACATTATAATCTTTTAACAATATAACATTTTAACAAACACTTCAATATTTAAAAGTAATTGAATAATATTGTAATACTGAATATTGAAATCTAGTTTCTTTTTCTATCTGACAAAATGCGTCATCAATTTGTGTCAAATGCTTATAAGAGATAAAAAAGATTTCTTCAATATTTTTTTTCTTTTTATTGAGCTAATTTACTAACTTTTATATTTACTATATATAATCGGTTTATGTTTCTTTTTTAAACAGATTAAACATACTTGCAAGTTACAATATAAAGGAAATATTATAAAATATGTATGGTAACGGTAAGCAATTTTTTCCTCCAAAAATTCTATTATGCGTAATTAAGATAGTTTTTCACATTACAAGGGTATACAAATTTACTTCTTCAATAAAAATTGCTAAATTTTTTTACACATATATGAAAAATATGTGAGTCCAAGTAACATTATTGTCGTTTGAATAGTATGAGGGTGCACGCTTGCGAAGAAACAAGCCACAAACCCATGATCGAAGTCAATGAGAACTCCATGACAAGAACTTTTATGTTCTACCTAAAATACAAAACTACATGAATATTTCACATTGTAAAAAACAATAACTCACACACTCACATCAACACACACGATTAAAAATGTTTCAATCCGCAAAATTAGTTATGCCATATTTATGACGAGTATTTTATTATGAGATGGTTTTGTATAGTATGGAACGTAAACCAAAAAAACAAAATTACACATATAAATATAAAATATTTTCAGAATTATAAAAAAAATATGTAACAAAATGTCCGAGCAGAAAAGATGAAGAAAAACTGAACATGAATCTCGTATCTAACTGCGAGGACATTACTTATGCACAGTCACTTTTACATTTGAACACGTACAACGCGTATTATCAAATAGATACAGACAATTTTTCAATCCATATCAAATTTCATAACAAAGAAAATATATTCTTACAGTTCTTGCATAAAAATCGTAGAATTGAAATGCATTTCATTTAATTTTTATTTCACAAAGTAAATACTGTGTTTGGTGGCAAGCATTTAATATTAATACTCCCAACGTTGTGAACATGGATGATGAACGAAAGGCTTTAATAAGTGAACCAGATAATAATCGCGAAAACCCATTAAGTAATTCCCTTCCAAAAATAATGAATAAAATGTAAAATACCTAACAATTAACAAATAAATTGTAGCAAGATTATGTTTGATACGAAAATAATGTTCATAAGATTTTACGGTACATTTTTCGATTCGACATTGATCGATTTTCACTTATTTTGAATTATTTATACGTCAATAGTATTTTAATTTGCTAGAACATTTACTGCACTGACAGATCATGATCAATATCTTTCGGGAAATAAATATTCGTTCGGTAAACGAAGAAATTTGCAAAAAGTGCGGAAAAATTATACTTACGAATGTCAGTTCCTTTTTTTGCAATGTTTTATGTATAGTATATCAAATAAAAAACCTCTGACGAGGCGAAGAGCGAGTGACAAAACCAAAATGTGAAACACAAAACTTAATATACATTTGTATACTCTTCAAGACCTTTCCAACGAGGTGCATATGTCCGGGGTGTGTCAAGTGGATAAGCTTCAGTGACCGTGGGGACAAAAGTCAAAAAGTGACTTTTGGAGACCGGCCACGGCCAACATGGCGGCCATATCGAAAAGTGCCAGAACAAAAAAGTCTTAGTTTCTTGTGTACATTAATCCCAGGAAGTTTCAAAAAGATCAGAATCGAGTAAGCAAAATTATAGGAAAATCATATGAAAATTTTAAAATGCTAAATTTTTCGAACGGATTGATCGATTTCGACGTTTGAGGTATCGTTGGAAAGGTATTGAGCTTTAGAATCAGACTATCGATGTTTCAGAGGTCAACGACCTCATTTAGTGCCGTCTATGGTCATGAAACTGAATTTTGACCCTTTTCTTGAAAGGACCATATTTTGAAGACAGGTGGACCGATTTTCAAACTTTTATATTTTTTCTTGATCTATGGCCCAAGAGCTTCATCAACAGGGGCAATGGCCTTCTGGGTGTGGATTTCGTATATTACGTGTATATATAGCGAGTTCGACTTTTCAACACACTAATGTGGTTTCGTCACTCGCGCGTACTGCCGTCCGCTGTGATTGATTTGATGAATTTTTTCGTCATAGATCAAAATCGCACTAAATTTTGAGCCGATATGCACAATTGCACATTTTTAAAAACTAACATTGTTTTATGTGTTGAAAATTGGAGGGGGGTTTGTTTCAGGGGTCAACGACCTCATTTAGTGCCATCTATTCGAAATCAACTATTAAAAGAATTTTTTTTTTAATTTTTACAAAATAAAATTTATTTAAATAACTTTTAATTTTAATATAGAATCTTACTTTTGATTTTTATATTTTGCTTTCGTTTCTATTCGGTCTTTTTTGCCTTTCAAAACTAATCGCTCACTTCATCTTCAACCTCCTGCTTTCGCTTGACCTTTTATAGGCACGCGCCGAGAGACGAACAAGTGATTTTGTATGCAAAATGCGTTTTTGTATATGTATTTATGACGTCACTTTGTTCATCTCTCGGCGCGTCGAGCGTTCAAGCGTGAAGTTGAAGAGGAAGCGAGTAGCGGTGAAATTTAAATAATACTTATGAACTAAATGACATAATAAAAATATAATATTAAAAAAAAAATCTTAAATTTAACTTCCCAAATTATGTTCAATTTGGAACACCATCTATGGCCGTAGAACTGAATTTTGACACTTTTCTTGAAAGGATCATATTTTGAAGATAGGTGGTCCGATTTTCAAACTTTATTATTTTTTCTTAACCTATGGCCCAGTGGCTTTCCATACATCAACCGGGGCCAACGTTTCTAGGTCTGGATTTCGTTTATTAAGTGTATATATAGCGAGATCGACTTTTCAACACACTAATCTGGTTTCGTCACTCGCGCGTACTGCCGTCCGCTGTGACATTGTATACTTCGTACCAGTCATGATTTCAATTATAGGCAATGTGATTTTTTTCGTTCTGATTCGGACATGTGATACGGGAGAAAACTTTTGTTACACAAAAATGACAAATGTTACACACGCGTGTGACAAATGTTACACAAAAATGACAAATTTTGTCAATGTGATACTGAAAACTAATGACGCAATACCAACATATTTATTTATTTATTTATTTATTTATTCACCGTCTGATCACAGACTGAATTAATCACAAAATTTGTACAATATCATTCACAATGAAACACCACCCGATCGTATACCCAGCTACCAGCCTTTTCGACTTCGGAGTAGCAGATATCGATTGTGTTCACTGTTTTAATTTCTATATTCTAAATAACACATAAAAGTTAAAAGTTAAATTTTTCACCGATCGAATATCACATTTTCTAATTTGACAATATTGTTTCTAAAGATGTGTCTTGATGCCGATTCTAAAAATGTTTCTCTTATCAAGTTAAAGTTTCTACAAGCCACGTAAAACGGCTGATTATGTGCATAATCCGATGAAAATGCCCTAACTCTAATCAGTTCTGTACTTCTTAAATTTCTTTGGTTTTCGTCATATTGCAGTCTTGTATATACAATTTTATTTCTAAGTGAACTCGACACTATTTTACCCAAAAGGAGATCATAAATTAAATAAACAGAGGCATTTATACGCCGTCTCCAAAGCGGTTGAATATTTAATACATCACATCTAAATTGATACGGTGGTAGCACAAAATTTTTTGGTAAATAAATCTCAATGTCCATATCAAAAAATCTTTCTGAATTGATTCTATTCTATTGGAATGGATACGGTGATATGGTTGCCATACAATACTCGCATACTCTAATTTTGATCTGACTAGTGCACAATATAATATTTTAGCAGATTCAATTGTAAACTTATTCTTTAATGTTCGTTTGATGAAACCCATTGCCCCATGTGCACTGGCTGTAATCGCGTCGATGTGATTGACAAATGTCAGCTTCGTGTCAAATATAACTCCCAGATCCTTGTGTAAGTTGATCCTTTCAAATGTATGTTGGCCGTTGTTGATCGTATAATCATAGTTGACTATGTTTCCGCATTTTGAGTATGTCATAACGAAACATTTCTTCAAGTTCAAATGCAGACTATTTTCAGTACACCATTCGCTCAATTGATTAATGGCATTCTGAAATATGATTGCATCTATAGGCGATTGTATGGTTCGGATTAATTTCAAATCATCTGCAAATAATAAAACAAGTGCATTTGACACGATTTCGACAATGTCGTTAATAAAAACAATGAAGAGACATGGTCCCAAAATACTTCCCGCTGGTACTCCAGAAGATACAGTGAAAGTTCGTAACTTTCGTTCACCGATTCCAACAAACTGTGTCCTATCTGTCAAATATCCATGGAACCATTTGACAAGCCGTCGGCCGAATCCAAATCTTACCAGCTTCTGCAACAATTTCATATGGTTCACACGATCGAAGGCCTTTTCGAAATCAGTATAAAGCACATCCGTTTGACATTTTTTGATCATAGAATCGATCGTGAAATTCACCATCTGTAACAAATTTGTCGATGTTGATCTATTTTTCACGAATCCATGTTGATTGTGGCAGATTTTCGAATTAACAAATGTGCTGATTTTGTTATACACAACAATTTCGAAAAGTTTGGCTATTGTCGGTATTATAACTACTGGCCTGTAGTTCGACGCGTTGCTCTTTTTACCAGACTTGTATATTGGCACAATTCTGGAATTTTTTAATGTTGTCGGAACACATCCTTGATGCAGTGATTTACAGAATAAGACTGTTAAGGGTTTCGACAATGTGTGCGCGCAATTTTTCAACATTTTCGGTGAAATACCATCTGGTCCGGCTCCTTTATTCACGTTGACCGATAGCAATGCCTTCATCACGTCGTTTTCATTGATTTCAATGTCAAATGATACATCTCCGCATTCACCTAATAATTGATCCAAGTTGACAATGTCGCTTCGTGTGTACTGATTTTCGAAAAAGTCAGCAAATAATTCGGCTTTCGATGTGTCAGTGTCCGCAATTTCATCGTTGTATTCAACAATAGCCGGAATATCGCTCCTTTTTCTCCTGTCGTTCACAAATCGCCAAAAATGTTTTGGATTTGCTCTGATTTGCGATTGTATACGGCTGATATACGACTTGAAAAGCTGGCCCTGCAATTGCATGAACGAATCGGTTATGGCATTGTATTCGTCAAAGCTGCCAGATTCCCATACAATATATATATATGTGATATGTATTTTTGCGTCACTCTATATACTGTAAAGAAATGAAAATCGATACCGCTGAGTTTTGGAAGAATCCGCAAAAAAAAAATCAAAATTTGACCGCAAGGTGGCGTTTCAAAAAAAGGTAAATTTTTGGTTTTGTCCATTTTGGACCACCCAAACCAGAAACAATTTTCCGAAAAATGGCATATTCGGAAACTGGAGTTCGGGTAGATAGTGTTGAAAAAGAAATTGTTGGAATCGATCGAAAGTAACCGAGATATGATCATGACAAAAAATCTTACGAAAAAACACGAAATTTTTATTTTTTTTATTCGAAAGTAGATGGGAAACCGAGCATACGTGTTTCTTCGAATTTTTCGATTTCGTCACGCAAGTGTCTGAGGTCTAGGTTCGGAAAATTTTCGAACGCACTTTTTCAGTTTTTCATCGAATGGCCTACTTTCTGTGCATATGAAAGGTGAGGTAATGATCTATATGTCGTTGGAAAGCTACGAACGTCAGCTATCCAGTTCTGAAGTCAGATTGAAAAAAAATTCGAAAATGATCGCTAGATGGCGCTGCATGTGTTGTTTTTTTGGAAAAATGACCATGACTTTTTTCACACCAACCAAAATTAAAAAAATTACAGCATTAGTTTTCTGGGCATTTGTTGGAGACCAAATTTGTGATGTTTTGGTGTGGGTGTCATCGTGTGTCATATCTGGGAAAATTCGTAACGAACCAATTTTTTTGTCCAAAGTAAAAAAAAATTTTCGAACGCCTCTTGGGCATGAGAGAGGCAACGCAATATAAAAATTGTTTGTGTATATGATTGCAAGCGTCACTGAAAATTTATATCAGATCATTTTCAGATTTGATGTGCAGTATTGCATCACAGTGAGAACTTCCAAAGAAGTGTTTTTTTACTTATTTGTGAATCGAAGAAAAAATATTAATTATTTTTATTCCATTTTTTGCGTCGTTCCACCATAGCGGGCACACATTTTTCAAAATGAAAAGTAGATGTCCCCCTGGTGAGAATTGACTGCGCATTGAAACTGAATATTTTGTTTGGTTTTTTGAAAAGATTTTAAAAGTTGTTGTTATGAATGTTTTAGATCCAAATCAACAATATTATGGTCAGCAAAGCGGATATGGCGGTATGTTTTTCATATGTTGCAAATTGTACATTTATTTGCAACAGGACTGTATTTTCTGAACTTTTTAAACACCTATTAGTTAATTATTGTTACATTAAAAATTATTTTCGAGGTGGAAATTATTTTAGTCAATAATAATTATAGGCTACCCTCAACCTGGATATCCTCAACCTGGATATCCTCAACCTGGATATCCTCAACCTGGATATCCTCAACCTGGATATCCTCAACCCGGATATCCACAGAGTAATTATCCCCCACAGTCTGAAGGCTTTGAAAGCTCTGGTGGTGGTGAAGCAAAAGGTTTTGAATTCAACGATGCAAGCATACGAAGAGGTTTTATTCGGAAAGTTTATGGAATCCTTTCGGTAGGAGAGTTTTTATAGTCTTACAGACTAAATTGTTTACAACAAATACTAACTTTCATCGTTTTTTAATAAAGGTTCAATTAGGAGTATCTGTGGCGTTTATATGTCTGTGTGCGTAAGTAAAAATTGCTTTTCTATTCTTTAATAATTCTTATTGATTCCTTTTTCGATTATTTTCTTTATCTTTTTTCACATTCATACATTTATTATTACTATTATTATTTAATAATAATTTATTATTATTATTATTATTATTATTATTATTATTATTATTATTATTATTATTATTATTATT